AGCCTCAAGTTTGAGAACGTCAGCTTCCGCTACAAGCCCAACGACCCGCTCGTGCTCAAGGACCTCAACTTTGACATTCGGTCGGGCGAGAAGATTGGCATCGTCGGGCGCACGGGCGCCGGCAAGAGCAGTTTGACCATGGCGCTCTTCCGCATCAACGAGATTGCGTCCGGCCACATGTACATGGACGGCGTCGACACCAAGAGCGTCGGCCTCAAGACGCTGCGCGAGAGCATGGCGATCATTCCGCAAAACCCGATCTTGTTCAAGGGCACGCTGCGCAACTACTTGGACCCGTTCGACGACTACTCGGACGACCAGCTCTGGGACGCGCTCACAAAAGTGCGCATGCAGACGCGCGTCTCGACCGAAGAGCTCAAGCTCGAGAGTCCGATCGAAGAGAACGGCGAAAACTACTCGGTCGGCGAGCGCCAAATGCTGTGCATGGCGCGCGCGCTCCTCCGCCAGAGCAAGATTGTGGTCATGGACGAAGCGACGGCCGCGATCGACCACGAGACGGACCAGAATTTGCAGCAGGTGATCCGGACTGCGTTCGCCAACTCGACCGTCCTCACGGTGGCCCATCGTCTCGACACGGTGCTCGACTGCGACCGCATCATGGTGTTTGACCAAGGCCGCTGCGTGCAGTGCGACACGCCGCAGTCGCTCATCGACGCCGGCGAAGGCATCTTCTTTGAACTCTGCGACGAAGGCGGGTACCTCGACCGGATCACGTCGCCCACGACGCCATCGACGGCCGAGTAGAAGCTAGTGTAGTCGATGTCGATACGGAATGAAGGACGATAGATGACGTTTTCTGTACGAAGTTTATTCTCTTAGCGTTTATGGTGGGCGTGGTGGTGGTCGTGATATGAAGAGAGAGCCGCCTCGTTTGTTCCTTCGATGACGCAGCGGTGCTGGCGGGCTAAGACCTCATTGGAAAGGCATGTAGAGAGTGGCTAGAGATGTGAGACGAGCCGCACTCGGTGGCCGCACTCGGTGGCCGCACTCGGTGGCCGCTACCACGTAGCATGTCCGTGCCTCGATGTGGTCGCTAAACCAGTGGGTCGCTTGACCTAACAGTGCCAAAAACGAACTCGCCATGTGCCAAACGAGCATGGAGACAGCATGGATAGCCGTGGCGATGGAAGGGGTCGTATCGCCATATAGGTTTAGGGTCTGTCGCTAACCCTAGGCTCGATGAACTGCATCTCCCATCGATAGCGTCGTATTGATCTCGCTTTACACAATGTAGCTGCCATTGCGCTGCTGAGGTAGCGTCAAAGGCTTTTGAAAATGCTCAAAGTCGAGGATCGCCTGGTCAAACGTATACGAGGTCGCGCCAAAGCTCCGGAGCTTGTAGTAGACAAAGAGCGCGCACTTGTCGCCGACGTCGCCATAGTGGCGCCGGGTCTTGTGTCCGCAGTGGGGACACGGCAGGTACTGTCGTTTGCTCGCAGCGTTGGGGCTACTGTCATCGTTGTCTTCGCGACGGCGACGGCGAGGCTTTGCGGTGGGCACTGGCGCCACGCTCCGCGCGTACGTCGCGAGGTGCTGGGGCGTTTTGAACATGACGTCGGCCAGCTACGCACACAAGCCATGAGCTACATGCGTAGGCAGAGAAAGCGTACTGTGATACAGCCCGTCGTCACCTCGATCTCGACACAGTCGGACAAGCGCCACGCGCGAAGCAGCGTGTTCCACTGCGTGGCCATCGCGCCAAAGTCGTCGGCCGGGCAGCGCGGCAGAAAGTGGTGGAACAGCCGCGTTTCGCTCTCGGTGCCCACGCTGCTATACGCGTCATTATCGTCGTCGGTCGTCTTGGTAGCGCAGGTCGTTATGGGTGGCGCTGTGGCGACGGCCACCTCGGGTACGTCCATGATGTAGTCGCTCCTAGAGACATGGGCGTGAGATTGCATTGCGGCAGCCACGGCGCGGACCTCACGCGCTCCATCTGCGTCGGGCATCGTTTCTTATGGCGCCGGGCGCTGCGGCACAGGAGACACACGTTCTTCCCAGCGGCCGTGATGAGGCGCGGGCCACCGTACTTCTTGGACGACGCCAGCGGCCGCTTGGTGGGCGCCGCCTTCGTCGCTGGCAGCTTCCCCAGCGGCCGCTTGGCACGCGCAGCCGTCTTCGGTGGAAGCGTCAGCGGCAGCAGCAGCGTTGACGCCATCGTCCCGCGTGCTCTTGTCGGCAATGGAATCTCGACGCTGCGCCGCCATTTCACCCAATCCAAGCGCACAAAACAGCACAAAGCCTGTCTTTTTGTCCAATCGAGTGGCCTTTCCAAAAACCTCTATTTTTCAATATCTCAATTGATATGCTGTTTCGCAGTATTGACGTTGACGGCGCTTGCCGATTTTGGCGCGCTATCAAGATCAAGCGCGGACGCCGCGGGTATCCTTCTTAGACTTAGTGCCAATCTTAGTCGTAGATGGAGTCTTCGTGGGTCTCAGCGCCAACTCTCGGTGCCATGCACAGAGCAACCGAGCGCTATTACAGCGTTGCGTGGAGCATTGCTCGTTCACACACCTACGTAGTACGCGCTTTGTACCCATCGTCGCATACACACATCCACAGCTCAGCAATTTGCTACCTGCTGATCTCCATAGCTTCAATGTGCTACCTGCTGAGCTCCACAGCTCAGCTCCACAGCTCCAGCATCGCACCAATGCATCGCTCACAGTGTACCTTTCAAGCACACTGGCAAGCACGAATCATCATCATCCTGCGACTACCGTGCAAGCGAATATGCAAATTCCCATGGGCCATCATCCACGCCGTCAGATTCACGGGCATGCCGGCGCCGAGCCTTGTGAACCCAACGTACCCTGCCCCGTCGGCCATTTGTCGCTGTGTTGGTTGCGGAGTGATTGCTCTCGTCCGTGACTGGCTGAAATGGCTTGGCGAGATGGCCAATCACCGCGCGTTTGCATCTTATCCAGTTACTGCGCAGTCGCAAGAAGCATGACCCACACCGAGCCGTGGCCACGCCGGCGCGCGACGAGCACGGGCGACGCCGCCGCCCCGTCCTTGATCCAACTTGACGCCGGCGACGAGGCGCTCTCGCTCTGGGCGACGGTGCATGCCACCGCAGCACATGGCTACGAGCGCGTCCGCGCCAGTGTCGGCCGCCAACGCGCCGCCAGCGCCAAGATGTCGGCGATGCGCGCGCTGCCACAGCACGTTGCCACGTCAGCGCGCTTCTACTATGCCAACCTTGCAGTGCTTCGGACAGAAGTGCTCTGCGGCGTCGCCGCGACGCTTCTCCAGGTGCCCGAGACGGTCGCGTTCAGCTACGTCGCCAACCTCGATCCGGTCGTCGGTCTCTACGCCACAGGCTTCTTTGGCATCCTCGTTGGGCTCTTTGGTGGTGTGCCCGCCACGATTGCCGGTGCGGCCGGCGCACTCGGCGTCGTCATGCCCACGATCACGAGCGGGACCGGCGCGCTCCGCGACCTCTCGTATGAAGCGCGCGTCGAGCATCTCTTCGTCGCCGTCTTTCTGGCCGGTCTCATGCAGCTGCTCTTTGGTATCTTTTCGCTTTCGCGCTTCTTCTCGATGATCCCGCGCACGGCGCACATTGGGTTTCTCAATGGCCTCGCGCTCATGATGTTGCTATCTCAAAAAACCACTTTTCAGAAATGCACCAAGCCAAATTTGCTCTTTGGCGCGTGCGAACAAGCTCACGGTCTCGCTTGGATGGACGCCAGCAGTGCGACGACGTGGATGACGCTCGTGCATGTACTCGTGACGATCCTTGTCATGCACTTCTTCCCCCGGACGCCCGTCGTTGGTCGGCTCGTGCCGCCGACTCTCGTTGTCGCACTGCTCGGTGTCGGCCTCGAGTTTGGCATCAACCGCCCGCTCCTCGGATACGACGTCCGCACGATCGGCGATACGTCCAAGCTCGCGGGGGCGCTACCGACGTTTGCGATACCAGGCTTCTCGCGGGTCACGGACTGGTCGCTCGTCATCTCGGTGGCGGCGAGTCTCGCGGCGGTCGGGCTCTTTGAGTCGCTCATGACGCTCCAGGCGATTGTCGACTTGACCAAAGAGCCGCTGTCGATGGCGGCGTGCCGCGCCGAATGCATCGCGCAAGGCCTCGGCAATCTTGTGTGCGGGCTCTTCCAGGGCATGGGGGGCTGCTCCATGATTGGCCAGTCGACCGGGAATGTGCTCAACGGCGGGCGGCACCGCGTGTCCGGTGTCGTCTGCGGTCTCGTGACCTTTATGATTCTGCTGTTTGCGAGCCCTGTTGTCGAGCGCGTGCCTGTCGCGTGTCTCACGGGCATCCTCGTCGTCATCATTGCGCACACGTTCCATTGGCCGACGTTCCGACTGCTCGTGTACCTTCCGGTCTCGGACGCCGTTGCCATTGTGCTTGTGACAGCGCTGGCAGCCGCCATCAACTTGGCCGTCGCGGTCATCGCCGGCGTCATCTGGCAAGCGCTTGTCAACGCATGGGTCGGCGGCACCTTTCTCGATGTCGAGACGCACGCCACATCGACTCGAAAGATCTATGCCCTCCGCGGCACACTGCTCTTTTCGTCTGTATCGCGCTTCCGGGACCTCCTGGAGATTGCGACCGACCCGGACGACGTGGTCATTGACGTCGGCGGGTGCCGTTTGGCCGACTTTTCAGCGGTGGCGGCGCTCAAAGAAGCGGCGCATCGCTACCGTGACGCCGGCAAGCGCTTGGTCCTGCAACATTTGGATGCGCACGCGACAAGTCTGGTGCTGGAGCACGACTTTGGCTGGATGCGCGTTGGTGGCCACTGCGTTTTGGCACCGCCCGCGCATGTGACCGAACTCAAGAGCCCAACGACCGCCTACCATGGCCTTCCCGACGATGACCATTGTTGACACATTAATCGACTTGTTTGAGAAAAAATGTTTTAAAACGTGCTAGGATAAAACATTGCTGGTGTTTGGGTGTAAATTCCTCCTTTTACGTTGTTCTATAGCTTAAAAATCACTAATTATGGAGTTTACAACAACGCCTCATGAAATAACATTTGTTGCCACTCGCTGCACGAAGAAACATACCGATTCCTCCACTGTTGGAACACTGCTGAAATCAAAAGTGCTTGAGAACTATCGCATGGCATCCTGCATGGACCTGGAGATTTCAGTACTGTTCCAAAACGCACCTCCACAAGCGTCGTCAATTGTCAATGGCCAATATTGTTCAAGGCTCGCTGGCGTTGTTTGATTGGCTCATTTCAAACAAAGCGCGAAGTCTCGACCAATCATATCCACTGCAAAGATCCAATCTGTGTTGCAGGATTCCGCGTTGCTTTACATAAACCTCAGGAACTGTGATACCAAGTGCCCTATTCCTTGGGTAAAACAAAGCAGCTACTACCATCTCACTTTTGAATTTGACTTATCATGTCCCCACCGACG